CATTTGATGTGAAAGTGGAAGATGCCCCTCCAGATGTCCAACTTGAGTTGATAGACATCTAGTGCAGTGATGAATTGAAATCACAGTTTAAAAATTCTAATCTCCTCACATTCTACGAAGAACTGCCAGATACATCATTTCCAAAACTGAAAGACAATGCTCGATTTTGTGCAAGCATGTTTGGCAGTACCTATGTATGCAAACAAGCATACATAGGTACTGCCAAACAAGCTTGCAAGTTTTCGCTTATGAATTTAAACAAGTGCAAAACACGGAACAGGTTAACCAACGAGAATTTGAAAAATCTACTGGTTGTTTCAACATCTGCCATTACACCAGACATAAAGAAGATTGCCGCCAGCATCCAATCTCAGCCATTGCATTAATCGCTTGGGGGTCCGGCCCCCAGTCAGTAAACTTAATCCTAATTTGGCCCTTCTTCACAAAAGGTTGTGCATCCCTGATTATAGATATGAAAGAAGTTTAAACTGACAAATAATTCAATGTGAAAATAGAAAATGAGAATTGAAATGAATAATGGACTATTAAGCATTTCATATCAATCAGATAGAACTGAAGTAACAGTAATAATAATAATAATAATAATAATAATTGATTTTGGTTCTTCAATATAATGCTCAATATGTAATTGTAATATATTATTCAGCAGATTAATCAAAAGCAAAAATTCATTACTATCAGATTGAAGGTTTCTTATTTACTTATATTTAAAATGTAAATGTTGAATAATTTAAACAAAATTAATTTATATTTTGCAGATTATAGTTATTGTTGATGGTTACAAAGTATCAAAATTTTTCCTTCATTATTCTAATCAATCTGAGAAGTTTCAACATTCATATGTACTCTTTGGACACAACGGAAAGAAATTTTACAGCAGTAGCTACTATATTGGTAATTTAATGTTCTTTCAAGGTAAAAATATTTTAATGTCAAACTATATTTAAATAAAAATTATAATTTACTTTTTAAAAGTAGAAAAGTATATACTGTATATATAAATATAAACATCCAATAACTAGATTTTTAGATTAATACCAATCAATTGTCAGATATAATCAGCACCATTGATAATCATTGGTGTTCAGGCATAACCAGTATGGTTATATCTAAATTAATAGTTCTAGAAGCAAAGAGTAGATTAAGATTTGGGTAGCATAACTGGCAACATATCTGCATGGCAAGTGGGAGTTGTACTGCCAATGTGAATGATTTTGGGCTGATTCTTTTCTTCCAGAAATTTCTAAATTAAATATTAATTTTAATCGTAATTTTAAATTTATCAAGAGTTGGCATCTAATACCTATCTCTAGGCCCAATTATTTGACATTTAATTAGTAATTAATACAATATTAAGTCTGATGTAATCTGGCAATCATTTGGCATTAAAATAGAAAAAATTTCATGATTCACATAAAATTAAAATGTATAAATGATCAAACATGATTAGAGATATTTATGAAGAAACTTTTAAAAGTAGGTGATAAAATATTTAGAATGGTAATGTTTTTACATTGTACCACCATCAGAAGGACATTTTTAACAAATTTTATATATGCAGATGGCAAAGACCCTCAAAGTAAGGGTCAATTCCTGTGTGACTTTATTGTGTTTTTGAGATGTGTTAAAATAACAAATTATGAAGACAGGTTTTTTAAAAGTAATTTTGACATTAGATGACCAGAGGGCTGAGGCAATTACAGCATTAGCCCACTGCTGTGAGGATTTCAGATCATCCCCAGGAATTTTTCATAGTGGTCAGTCTCAGATATATTGGGCCTGTCACTCCCATTTTGGGCTTAGCTGATCCCATGATTTGTATGAAAAAAAGAACTCTTGATGTTTATAAGGCAGAAAGAATTAAAACTAGAAAAAAAAAAGAATAACTAAGAATATAATTTATATGCTTTTTTTAGTAATTGTAATTGTTTGTAGAATTTAATTGGATGGTGATTAAGTTTAATTTTAAATTGAAGACAAAGTCTGTTGAAATAGGAATCACCGTTCGTTCACTTTCGATGTTCCAGAATACAAATTTTTGATGACTGATATTTTATTGTGGGCTACTTGACCATCAAAATTAAAACTTCCCTTAAAAACATAAGATTAAAAATTGAAACTGGCAATGCTCCAGATATCATCTTTCCTTCCATCCTTACTTGGTGTTTTAATTTGTAAAAGTTTCATAGCCAAATTGAAAACATGCTTTAGGAGATTTAACATATACAGTATTTTCTTAAATATTTATTATTTAAGAAAGATAATTTTTGAAGTTTTCTCTGAAGTTTTTTTTATCTTAGGAAGTTGTTTGAAAACATTATTTACTCATTTGAAAGCCATAGATTTAAAGTGATGATAAGCATAAAATGTCAAAAGTTAGTGTTAAAAATTTTAATATCACAACTTTTTCAGTGTATTTTTATCATCATATTCTAAATCTCTTGTTTTGAAATAGGTAAATTCTATTTTCAAAATTTCCTAAGCAAAATTTATATAAAGTAATGCAGGAAAGCCTCATTAATTCAAACTTGGATAATTCAAGATCCGGTTAATTCATAACTATACTTTTGTCCCAGCTGGGGATATATAGATTTACACATCAAGGAATTGGTTAGTTCAAAATATGGCTACTTCGTAATTCAAAGTGAAAATTCTGTCTGAACTGTGATATGAATATATTAAATCGTTTGTTTAGATCAAAGTGCCTCCATGCTCTAAGAGAATAATAGATCAAGAACAACTCTAATGACTTCTTTTACACTATAACACATTTTCAGATGTCACCTTACATACGGACTACTCTTTTTCTTCTTATCTCATAAAATACATTGGTTTTCAGGATTGTGAGAATGGGCTATAAGTAGCAGAGATATTTGTAGGACTCTGTGTTTGGTCAACTTACTTCTTTTTGGGCCACTTTAAAACTAATTTGGGTTATATTTCGAAGAATTCTGCTTTACTTTTTATAAAACCTGTCTGACAACTTTTGAGCTTTGTACTGGACATGTGCCATTTACCTGCAGTTTATTTATTATTATGTTGGGTTTAGTGAGTTATTCTCAGTTGACATTGGTGGCTGTGTAGTAAGCCAGACCAGAGTCAAGGCATAGTAACCAAAAATTAAATAAGTGTGTCAGTGTGTGTGTCTGTATTCAGGAATTTCCTAACAATATGACATGTATTCAATATAGTGGCCTTCTGTAGTGTGATGTATGTGTTTCTATTCAATTTTAATGTTCCCAGGCTTTTGTGTAGTGTGTGTGGTATCACACCTGTACAGGAGAGAACGACAGGTACAATAAGCACCCTATNTCCTAACAATATGACATGTATTCAATATAGTGGCCTTCTGTAGTGTGATGTATGTGTTTCTATTCAATTTTAATGTTCCCAGGCTTTTGTGTAGTGTGTGTGGTGTCACACCTGTACAGGAGAGAACGACAGGTACAATAAGCACCCTATCCATCCTCCACAGATGCCTTATTTCCTGGGCAAGTTCTGTGTACTGATTTTTTCAGTGCCTGTGTTTTGTACATTGTGAGTGTTTGGAATGGCTATGTCTATAATGTATGTGATTTTGTGTTTGTCAATGAGTGTGATGTCTGGTCTGTTGTGGTAAATTGTTTTATCTGTGATTATGGCTCTGTCGTAATACATTTTGTGCGTGTTATTTTCCAATACTGTCTGTGGAATNCCAGGCTTTTGTGTAGTGTGTGTGGTATCACACCTGTACAGGAGAGAACGACAGATACAATAAGCACCCTATCCATCCTCCACAGATGCCTTATTTCCTGGGCAAGTTCTGTATACTTGCTAATTTTTTCAGTGCATGTGTTTTGTACATTGTGAGTGTTTGGAATGGTTATGTGTATAATGTATGTGACTTTATTGTGTTTGTCAATGAGTGTGATGTCTGATCTGTTGTGGTAAATTGTTTTATCTGTGATTATGACTCTGTCATAGTACATTTTGTGTGTGTTGTTTTCCAATACTGTCTGTGGGATGTATTTGTAGTATGGTTCGTGGATGTCTAATAATTTGTGTTTGTTTGCTAGCTCTTGGTGTATTATATTTGCTACTTGGTTATGTCTATGTAAATAAGAAATGGAAATGATATGTTGTATAGTTTCTGGCATGATGTGTCACTTTCTGCATATGTCATTTGTGAGTATTGTATCTTTGAGTATGTGTTTTTTTTGTAGTTTTTAGTATTTATGACTTGATCCTGTATGGCAATCAAAGAGGCATCCCCTAAGCTAACCAGTTGTTTGGTGCAGTTTTGTCACCATAATCTTGGGCCAGGTCGTAATGATGCTTGCCATTGAGTGCCTTTTGAGCCCACAATTGCTTAACGGTGTCTATGCTTTTTATACGTTATGAGTGTAAATTTAATGGTGTGTTATTTGAGTCTGCTAGAGTTACTGCTTTATGTAACTGATGTTTCTTGTTTTTTTGTAGAAAAACTCTCATAGTGTCTGTATTTGTTTGTAGTGAAGGCTTACTATGTCAATCTTATTAATTATTAATTAATGAAAATAGCATTCTGTATAAGTTGCCATATTTTGTTTGCTAAATAAATTACATTGGTTACATGGCATTTGGTATATTATAAAGAAATATGTAAATCTCAGATAATTTGAAATTCTATAATTCAAAGTCGCAAATATTCTGTTTCCTGAATTTCGAACTAACGAGTATTTGGATTAAATTGTCTTGCAGTATCCTGTGTTTAATGTGTTTTTAAAAAAATAATTTTTCTACCTTGCTAGTCAATTTTTAATAATCACTTTAATTTCAGATAATGTATTGACTAGAGAGCACAGCTACTATTTAAGTCAACTTGGTCCAGATATCAGAAATATAACAGACTGCCATCTTGAAAGTCAGCTTAAATTTTTTCCTCAGTCCTTAGTACCTTTAATGCTAGAATCGGATATTTCTGTTGAAGCACTTACCTGCATGAAAATTCCATCTTTAGTTATTTTACAGGTTAATATTATTATTTTAATATAAGTAATTTATTTAATGTTAAATTATTAGTTAAATAATGTTCAATCATTTATTGAGACTTCAAAGAAAACAAAGTTTTTTTTCTTTTGTGAAAATTGTGTTTAAAATTATTTAATAAGTAGATTTATTAAATTTCTGATTATGTAAAAGACTTTCAGTTAAAAAAAACTTCTTACAACGTCAACCAAAATCCAGCATTTAAACAGTTGCATGAACATTTTCATCTACCTTAGACATCCTCAGGTGGAATATTACAATTCTACGAGAAAGTTCATTTAGAATCACGTGCCATGTGACAAGTGTGGCACCTGGCTATTGGTGGATGCAGAAAACATTGTAGAATTTGAGTCAGATATGTCATCAGCTAGATCAGAGGTCTGCAAACTATGGCTTGTGGAAATGATAGAAATTACTAACTTGGAAGTCCAGTATGATGTAATATTGCCTCAGAAGAAACAATTTCATTCTTCACATTAGTACAAATTTTCACCATTCTATAATAAGTTCATTAAAAATATTTTTATTTGTTTTTAAGTACATTTAGACATTTAGATCAAAGGAGGAGAGGGCTATCCGTTTATTTGTTACAGACTTGGCCCTGTTGGAAGAGGAAGGAAGGAAAGCATGTGAGCGAAGTGTGAAGGGAAAGCGAGATAGGAAAGTGTGAAGGAAGGCAGGGGAGGCATCATGGACGCCCGCATCGCATTTATTAATATAACAGAATACAGAACGATTGCAGAATTTACAGATAATAATAACATATTTACATATTGACTTTACATAGTAAGTGCGTACACAGTGCTTGAATGGTAAACTTGTGATATTTACAGAGTAACAAATTTTAAGTACAGTAATACCTCGACTTATTCTACCCCAACTTACGCGAACCCGGAGTTACGCGATTTTCAAATCTCGTCGATTCGTCTTTTGTTTGAGTGCCATGCAACTCTGGATTAATCACTCCCCCCACACCATTGTTCGGACGTGTCGCGCCGAATCGACACATAGCTACAATTTATTTTGTGTTATTTATTTCTGTGTTTGTTATATCTACGGAGACTCGAGAGACTCTATGTGCTGATTTCTTGTAACTGTGAACAAATCAAAAGATGAGATAAGATTAAGGAGAACATTTATTAGCTTACATACATCCGACTTGGATTTTACACAAATTGCAAAATTATACCCCGACTTACGTGAATTTGACTTACGCAGTTATCGCTCGGTCCCACCTATCGCGTAAGTTCGGGATATTACTGTATCAGCAATAATGTGTATAAATATTATGTATGTAAAAATTTCACTTCCTAATAAAAAAAATAACTTTTTTTTGTTTTTGCTTTATGAGTAGAAGTACCTATTAAAAAAATATATCTATTTGAGTTTGCAACCTGGCCCACCAAACCTGATTTTTTTATGATCTATCCCTTTATAAAAAAGTTTGCCAACTCCTGAGCTAGATGTTGATGAAAGTAAAACTTTCAAGCTGGAAGAATGAATCTGTGCCCTTGTGGTTGATGGCATATTTCTTTACAGAAACCTTGCAGATTTCATAAAGCTTCCGTAAAGAAATATACCATCAACCTCAAGAGCACAGTGTCATTCCTCAGGCTTAAAAGTTTTACTTTCATCAACATCTAGCTGATGACATTCTGTATGATACAAATTCTATGATGTCTTCTGCATCCACCAATAGCCAGGCTCTACACCTGTCACACAGCATGTGCAATTCTAAATGAAGAATTCTCGTAGAATTGTCATATTCCATCTGAGAATGTATACTTGAAGGTAGATGAAAACGTTTGTACAACTGTTTAATTGCTGAATTTTGGTTGACTTTGTGAGTAGTGTTATTCATTATATATACTGTATGTAATAAACAACTTTAATTTAATTACGTATTATTAATAAATACTGACATTTATTTATATATTTAGCATACTGTATAATCTTGATGCAGGGAGAAATCATACAAATTATCACAAATCATAGACAAAACAACCTACAACTACATTACAAAGGTCAAGTCAATCTTAAACTTAAAAGTGTGAGAATTATCCAAATAAAAAAACAAAACAAACCTAAAAAACAGTATCTTGCCTAAAAAACAAAAGAGAATCAGATTAGTCTCATTTCCACACTTTGGATAGTCTTTCAAACAACCAAAGCTAACCACTGATTAAATAGCCTGCAACCTATGCCTCTGAAATGTAATTAACATAAAAAATCACCAACAACTCTTTAGGTTCATAGTATAAACTATGAATCTAAAAGAAAAAACCAAATTATCATTACACCAATTTTTGGGCCCAAAAATTGGCGTGAATGTCATATGTGGGTGTGGTAGACACAGGCAAGTCGCCCTTGATTTAACCTGTTTCTTAAAGAAACTGATCTATACTTAGAGATCTTTCTTATGGTCTTTAAATTTACATTTACTGTGAAACATAATCTAGCATTTTCTGACAGACAGGGAAAAATGAACATTAGATGCAGGAAACAGTAAATTGAGTAACTGGCCATAACTGAATCTGAACAACAAAGATACAGAAAAATTTCACATAACAACTTTAATTCTATATATTGTGTAATAAAATAAACAGGGCCACAAAGTTGTTTATTGTACAATAAAAAACAAACATTATTTAGTGTGAGCCTGAAGACATGAAGTCTGTTAGTTTGGACTTTCCATGTCTTGGAAATGTTCTCCAGGACACTTTCCTTCAATTGCTGCAGTATGGTAAGCATGCCATCCTCATTGGCATACTTGGCAAAAGTGTATGATTTGAGTCTTTAGAAATACTAGGCATGCACTCAGGTTCTCCATCATCATCATTGTAAAAGTCTGAGTTCTGCTTATGGCTCATTTGTAGCACTAATGCTTGCCTCTTTTCCAGCATACAGTTCATTCACTGTTGCTAAGCTGCACAATGCAACATTGTTGTCACAAGCCATATATTTATCAAAATCCAGCAGTCTTCTATTGAAAGCATTTGTGGGCATGATACTATCCAGTCATTGTCATCAATTTTGCTTTTCACATGAGGATCAGCATCCACTGATGCTAATTCAAGGTATAAACATCAACTGAAACCCAATGCATAGCAAATAGGCACCCACAGAATGTGGATAACAGATTTAATTATAATTTATAATTATTATTTCCAAAATATAGCCCAATTATTTACAGCAATTGTGGTTGTCTATTTGCTACTTCAAGGTTTTTGCATTCACATAAAAGCTGATCTTCTTGAAGCAATTTGTGATTGTTGATGTCTTGAAGGTATCCAAGACATGACAACATGATGCAGTGCTTGCAATAAGTCGATCTTTAATTTTGTGTCATCCATCCTGCACTGCAACAAGGAAATAGTAGTGAAAACTTTTTGTGCCAACATTCATCATTATGTTTACCTTGAAAGTGAAGATGATTTCCTCAATCAAGGACTGCAACTGACTTGTGCAGTTTGCAGGTAAGAAATGAAGTTAGACATTTGTCAACACAAGATCCTAGTGCATTGATCAACAAACAGGATGACTTTTCATGACAACTGAGGTGCCCTTGTGACACAACTGTGTCCTTACACATGGGTTGAGAAACACTGGTGTAGAGGAAAGATTAGATTGAATAGTATAATAACTGATGATGAATTTGTTCAGCTTTACAAGTCCATATATTGATAATTTGAGATTTTTTTTAAGTTTCAAATTATGAATTAAAAATTTAAAAATTTTAATTATTAAATGGCTCATAAACTGCTTTGCCTATTTTTAAGCTCAATTTATAAATTAAGTAATTAAATAATTATTATAAAAAAATGATTTAGTGCTTAATGTCACTAAGACAATGTCAGGAATTTTAAAAAATAATACAAATTTTAAAATTTGATGAGAAGAATTCAAACTTAGAACAGAGATGGTTTGAAGAGAAGAAATTTTGACATTGAAATTGGAAGAATTATATATGAATATAAATTATATGTGAAGTTTTTGCTTTTTTATAAATAATGAACAACATGATGACTGGTGTTGAGGCAGTGTAGTGTTTGTATCCTTATCAAAACTAAATAATTACAAATTAACTCTTGATAAATCTGTGAGTTTTTGTTGGTAACAAATCAAGAAGGATTAGAAACTTCAAATTACATTATTATATTTTTGTTTGTTTATTGGAAATTATTAAAATCATACTTTAATTAATGTCAGATGATGATAATACTTTAAAAATGTTCAAATAATTTTGAAAATTATTATTTATTAGCTACAGCACATGATTTAAATTTATTATAATATTTTATATAATACATTAGTTATTTAGTTAGATTTAATGTTAAATGAAAAATAGTTTAATATTTAATTTGCATAAGATTGTTAAATGTAATTTTATATATTTACAGGAGAAACTATTAGCAACATATAGTCCAAAGAAACCAAACATTTTAAGTACATATCCAAACATCTTTAATACTGTTGTTTCCTTGCTTGCATCATTTACTGGTATTTCGCCACCTTTTAAGTTAGTATTATTTAAACTAATTCTAGTGAAAAGATATTAATTTCAATATTTATCAATCTAAACAATATTTTTATTATTTGAAGAACTTGAACATGCACTATGAATTATGTAATTAAATAATGATGATTTTATAGGGTTGGCACAGATGATCAGAGACCATCTCAACAACAACCTGTCGACAAAGTTATAAAATTTAATATAAAAAATGTACACACAATGAAAAGTCTCTTGCATTCAATTGAAACAATGGGTGGAATTAAATCAATATTATTTCTTTTTGGAAGAGTATGTTCTAAATAATTTTATTTAAAGTACAGGATCTTCACAAAAGAATGCTATTATTTTAAATTATTGTAATTATGTTAATTATTATCCAAGGACATTGTAATGTACAAAAAACATTGGAAAACTGTCAAAGTTTCAAATTTGCCCATTACAGTTTCTCAATGTGTGCACCTCATATCACATGACACACATCTATTCGATACTCATACTCTTCCTATGTTTGCTACAACATCTGTTGTAATTTTTCTCAGCAACCACAATATTAAAGTTCTAGCAGATTATTCATATTGCATAATGATGAGTGATTCCAACTTTGCAAGTTGCAGAATACAAGACCCCTTCTCTGTTGTAGAATTGCCATTTTTATTTATGATGTTTCTTAGAGGTAGAATATGACAAGACATTTGAATGCAGATAGAGGATGAACTCAAAGAGTTACTCTGTCAATTGGTGTATGTCACATACTTAGATAATAATTAACATAATTACAACAATTTAAAATGGTAGAATTATTTTTGGATGATCCTTTATAATTACAATATAAATTGATTGTAATAATGATATAATACATGTTACATTAATTTTTTAAATCAATATATATAGGTTGTAGAATGTAGTTCTGAAGAAAAGTCTCATGCTGATGCACTGGAATTGTTATTTTATTTGTTACAAAAAGATGCAAAAATTTATACAACTTTTCAAGAAATAAATGGAATGCTGTTAGTAAAACAGGTTTTGGAGAGTGAAAAATGCATTACATCATATTTAATGTTACAGGTAAGAAATTTTAAATATATATAGTTTTAATGTATACTTTTATTTTTATAAAGAATAAATATCACAAATTTAAAGATATTTTATTACACAGAAAATAAAGCAGTAGATGTAAACTGTTAGTATTCACTTCATTTTTTTTTTACAATTAAAATTGTTAAAGTTATGTTATGCATATTAAATACTTGGATTGGATGTAATGCCAACAGTTGTGTTAATTCAATTAGAAACTTCAGACTAGGAGGTGTTAAAGAGAATTAAAAGGAATATTTTATAATATTCCTTATATATAAAATATTCCTTTTAATTCTCTTTAACACCTCCTAGTCTGAAGTTTCTAATTGAATTAACACAACTGTTGCGTGACATCCAATCCAAGTATTTAATATACCTAAAACAATTTGTTACTAGAGAGAGGCATTAGGAGCCATCTCTTATTAAATTTTAATAATTATAATTAAATTAATATTTATTAATTAATTTAGAAGATTC